TTGGAATAATGTCTGGTTTGGTTTCCCAGAAAATAACGCACAAAGAAACACTTGTGTATACTTGATCTCCTTATTATTATGACCAAATTTCATATTCACAAATGTAAATTCGCAAATAAGAAACCTTGCTTATTTGCCTTTTCAAAAGAGTTCAAAACATTACATCTCATCAATTCAGGGGTCTCTAAAGCAAAAGGCAATTAAAAAACTATATCAGTTATTTAGAAAAGAAAAAGAAAACCGCCTGAAGCCCAGCACTGTGGAAAAGTTATTTTTAAATAATAATAAATAAAATTTTGGCTCCATTATCTAAAGTCTCAAACCAAGTAGCCTAACATAAGCACATTCACGTCATAACCATTGGATCATAAAGACGGACACCATATTAAAAAGTTCATCATTTATTCAATTCAAAACTTCCCACAGCAATACCACGGTGCCATTATAATCACTCTGCCTGTTTTAAATTTAATGTCCACTTGATGGCACAGTAGAGCAAATGAAGCGCCGTGAAGCTTCGGCCCATGAGTGAACCAATTGGACGGACAGCTTCAATGCTTCACAAAGCTTCATCTCGCCATCACTACCAGCAGGTCTCCGCTGTGATTGGTATACCGCGTTGTCTTGGACTGACTTGATGCTGACCTCGGAGATCTGATCTTAAGGCTGCGGGATCCCCTGGAGCCTCTGCGTTCTCGCGATGCCACGACCTCTCGCCCGCCCCATGTTGCTAAGGCCGTTTTGAAACAATTGTCCAATCCCAATGTCTCTGAATCCTGAACCCTCACAGACTTCACTGACATCACTTGGTTGGTCGTTGAGGCTGTAAGGGCATAAAATGCTGTAAACTGGAACGGGACAGTACTTTGCCACATTATCATATCACCTTGATGACACTGAAACACGTTGCACACTTTATTTTATGTTTTTGCATGATTTTAAGTCTTGCTGGCTCAGTGGATGAGAGTTAAATTTCAATCTACATTACAATAATCAATGCACTATTGATGGCATAAAGCAAAAACTATAATAAATAGTTGCAGTTTAAAATGGCGTTTGCTAAAGCTAATAATGGTGACTGCCAGTTACAGCAGTAATAACCTGCAGTCATGTTGACTTGAGCTGAACTAAACATGCCACGACCTGCTGAGAGGGAGTGAGAACACCACTGTAAAGAAAGGGGTGTGCTGGATTTATAACCAGAGAATCACTGAGAAATTTGAACAAACAAACAAGTTACAACAAACCGTCTTTGTCTTTGGAGGATTTATCAACAGAATAACAGAAGTATTACAACAGGAAATCATCTGGACCAGCGGTTCTGTCACGTAGGGCAGCATCTAACATCTGAGCCAGAGCAAAGAGATGCATCATCATTTAGACAGTCCAGGTTTCTGTGTTTGATTTGAGGTGGGACAACACAAGGTGCTCAAAAGACTTCATAACCTCAGAGGTCAGGGTGACGGGTCTGTGGTCATTTAGTCCTGTCCCCCTTGTCCTTCCAGCAGTTGTTGTCCCCTGATAGAGCCTCTGCCTCCAGTGCTTCCTCCTGTGGCCCTTAAAAAGTACCCAATCTCCTGAGAGAGCAGTAGACAGGTTGGCTCATTGTCTCAGCATTTCTTCATCACAGGCTGTAGTGGTGGGTAGAGAGTGTCTGACTGGACCTCTTCCTGTCTGTGGCCTTCTGACAAATAGGATTTCTAATGAGCTCAGACCACATTTATTCCAAGTTCAACTTCTTGATTAATCGTCCAGCCCTACTTGTGGCCATTGATGTTACTGGAACTGCTTCTTCTCTTAACCAGAGCAGAGTGTGTCAATACAGCCTCGTATCCATCACCATCTTTACTTTACAGTGTTCCTGGATCCCACTTTAAGGGCCTGTAGTCAGTCAGCCGACTGCAGGTGTGAAGCCATCTGCCCAAATCCCTCCATTTCCAATCAGCAGATACAGCCATTGCCACATGCGAGCTAAGCAGCTGAGATTGGGCAGGACAAACAGAATAAGCAGCAGCCTTGCTTGTCCAATAAACAGGCTGTAAGCACAGTGGCAGACACACTAGATGGCGCCAGAGCCCACTCAGACATAACTTAGTGCCTCCTGACTGTATTTCACCATTTGAAATGGAAACTGCAGTCTCGTAACTTTTAACCTCTCTGGATGTTCGGTCAGAACAATGCAAAAATAAATAATAAGATCGCATCCCATCAAGTTAAGGGGACAGTTCTCTGCTTCACTGTGTGTTTTTGCAAGCATTATTTTGTCATAGTCAGTTAAAGGTTGAGACTCACTCACTGATGTGTAGTGATGGTGTAACCCTCCCCTCCGTGTCTCTGCTGGGACGTCCTCACGGCCAGCATGTTGTCTCTGGGTCATTCTGCTTCCTCCGTCCTCCAGCCGGTGACCCAGAGATCCACCGAGCTCCTCCATCATCCAGGATGTTCCCCTCACTTTCACAGGTGGAGCAGAGAGGAGCCCCGGCTGGATCCTATGAGGACGTCTGTTACCGGGCAGAAACAGCATGAACACAACCATGAAGGAAGAGCTTCATCTGAGACCTGATGAATATTTATTAGATAGATTTCAGACAGATTATTGGAAAGAAGCTGCAGGAAGCTTTCAGCTGGCAGGAGACACAATAAGACTTTAAAACATAGAAACAGAGACTAGATCCACACAGGTCCCAGTAAAGACACTAGTCATAGTCCAGTGAAGCCAACAGGGTGTTAGTGACTGAACATGTCGGAGTAACAGAGGTGGATCAGTTTCACACTTTGTCTTATTTTATACAAAAAGAAAGAAATCAGACGTGATGTGACAGATTACTGTTTCTGTTCAGTTAGTTACTAAAACTACAGAGGAAACCAGTCGCGGCTCAATAAGACCTGATGTCAGGAGCAAGTTTATTATCGAAACTAAAGGTAAAAAGCATTGTTTTTTTAAATAAAAAAAAACAAGGTTTTACAAAAAAACAAACTAAAACTGTATTGTAGGTTTGCAAAACTAACTAAAATCAAAGAGTAAATGTCCTTAGTTTTTGTTTATGTATTTTATAGGACCTAATAAGCCTATTTCTATTATCTTTTATACACACGTGTACAAAATAATATGAATGCAACAACTGTATAGAGTTGTATTTTGTTAAGTTCGGTTGCAGGTCGTGAGTTGCTTTCTTGTTGGTTTTCTTTTCCTTCTTTTGTTCTGTTCCATTCTGATGGTCTGGCTTAGTGCTCATCATTTGTGTGGGGTAAACTTGCCCCTTGTCCCCGTGCGCTGGTTTCACGCTGGTCTTTATATTTACTGCATGTCAGCTAGTTTGTGTTTAATGGGCTCATTGATATCTCAGCCAACCTGTCTGTTTGGGCTTCACATTGTTTTAATTAAGAAAGGTTTAGATTTTAACTTCTTTCCAGTCATACTTGCCTCCAGGGTGCTAGGGACCTGTTGTTTGGGGCTCCAAAGGGGGCCCTCCACTATCTTCCAATTTCTTAGCTGTCCATCCCCTCCATGTATTGTATTTCACCTATTTAACCAAGAATGATAGAGCTAGCGACTGATGTAATGAATTTCTTGGAACCACTTTGTAGTAGGATTAGGGTAGTTTGCTCTGGGTTTTCTGTATGCAGGTTAGAAAGTATTGATGCATAATCACATTACAGGATTTCAAAACTCCGACTGGAAAATCCAACACATGCCGCAACTTTAGGTTTGTGAACGTGGTTCCTAACTGTGGAGCACAATGGCCCGATAAAAGCCTGATAAATTTCCCCAGGGGGGATAACACGTATTACTGAAGATGGAAACAGCTGTACTAAACCACTACAGGCCCATATCAAAGCTGCCCCTTCTCTGTAAAGCGGTTAGAAAGAGTTGTCTTTAGACGAGTCATCAACTTTCTTGCAGACAGTCTAATTTTCAGCCACCTGGTGACAGAATCACACAGCAGCAGGAGTTTTTATACATTTTTAGCTGACTTTTAACCAAGCTACTTACAATTGCTGTACATGTCAGAGGTCACACGCCTCTCGAGCAACTAGGGGTTAAGTGTCTTGTACAGCGGTTCCAAGTCAACATTTGCTGCAGCTGAAATTCCTCATGGTCAACTATTTAATCACCTAATATGTTGTTAACCCTCCATGTAGCAATGTACAAAAACCTCACGCCACAAGTTTATTCCCATCTGCAGCTGGCGCTGGTGATGGCGAATGGATAAGATGCCTGCCATTGGTGTGAGACACCCGGGTTCAATCAATTATATTCATTCATTACACTCTCAGTCTAGTTTGACACTTGAAATATATCAGTCTGTGTGGAATGAATGTAAACATTATACAAGTTTCACTTTTTGAATGGAATTAATGAAATAAATCAACTTTTTGATGATATTCTAATTATATGACCAGCACCTGTATGTCAGAGGCGTGGACTCCAGTCACACTTGAGTTAGAAAAATTATGACTTTAGACTTCTTTTAATCAAACAAGACTTGCAACTCGACTTTGAATTTAACGCTTTTGACTTGAGCAATTAATTCAATTTTCAATTACAACTTTGGCTTAAAATGATAATTGCGTTGGGTGCCGGGTTTCACGGGATTTTAACTGCTATAACTTCACATTCAATTAATGATGGTCAGTGAGTAATGCGGTTAAATGATTGCCTCTGCCTTTTGTCTGTACAGGTTAACCCTTCATTTAATACAGTTCCTTCATTTTTAATTCATGTTTAAAAAAAGTATGACGTGCTTTGAAATTTGGTGAAGGGCGCATTATGACTTGAAACTCAAAGTTTAAGTCTTGGGATTTGACGGTTTTGACTCGGCCTGTCTTGATTGGTCTGGACTTGGGACTCGACCTTTGAGACTTGGATGCTAAGACTTGAGACTTACTTGTGACTTGTAAAATGACGACTTGGTTCCACCTCTGGTATATTTTATGACTTTTGTACATATAGTATAAAACAAACGATCTTATGTTAATACCATGATTTATTAATGCTGTAAATTTACACTGAATATTGAATTTGGATAATAAACCCCTCCAACCTGCAGCTTTCCAGCACTTTCCAACACAAACTTCCTCAGTTGTCATCACGTTTGATGCAGTTGTGACTTTTAAGGGAACTGCTCATAGTATAAGCTTTCCCACACTCTTCACACTTGTATGGTTTCTCTCCAGTGTGCACACGTTCATGCCTCTTTAACTGATTAATTGTAATGAAAGTTTTCCCACAATGTTCACACCAATGTGGCTTCTCTTCAATGTGAACACGTTGGTGGTTCTTTAGCCAATCAGATCTACTGAATGTTTCCCACACTGTTCACACCAGTAGGGTTTGTCTCCAGTGTGAATACGTCGATGGATTTCTAACTTGTCAGCTCGACTGAAAGTTTTCCCACACTGTTCACACCAGTGCGGTTTCTCTCCGGTGTGAACACGGCGGTGGACGTCTAAGTGATTAGATCTACTAAAAGCACTCTCACATTGGTCACAGCTGTACAGTTTCTCTCCAGTGTGAATCCGTGTGTGGATTTTTAGGTTATTTGATGCACTGAAAACTTTCCCACAGTGGTCACAGCTGTACGGTTTCTCTCCAGTGTGAACTCTCTGATGAATCTTCAAATATCCAGATGTTGTGAAGGATTTGTCACAGAATGGGCAGCTGTGACATCCGAGTCCCTCTGCTCCTCTTCGTTTCTATAACAGACGTGACAGTGAGATAATATCGTGGAGCGAGAAATCCAAAACCACAAATGACATTTAGCGCTTCTCTGTGTAGGAAATCAAATACTTACCCGCGGCCTACGTGCTTTGAGTGTGAGACTGAGGTAGAGTTCAATTTTGAATTAACTGCGATTAGTATTTAAAGATTTCTCCCAGTAAATTATTTTGACAGAAGCAAAACATTGTAGTAAAGTTTTTCTAAGCATAGAAAGGTAGAAAAGATGCAATGATATTTGAATAGCTTCTGTAGCTAAATGGATGCAGAAGTTGAATAACTTCAAATTGAGTAGAGTTAAAAATACAACACTTTAATATGATTTTTTGAAAACTCAGTTACTAAAGGATTTACAATGAAAATATTATGAAAAGAGAATGAAAGCAATAAAACTAAAACACAAAGAGAGTTATTGTTATAAATGAACTAAAACAGATTTCCCAGAAACTTCCTGAGCTGACTGGTGGCTGTGTGTGTGATGCAGGCGCCGATCACCACAATACACTTATTTACTACACGTGTCTTTCTGTTGTTCATTTTTCAATATGAACACTGCATATCATAAAAAAAAAACCAGATCAATAAACAAAACATTCTATACAAAATATGTATTAAACCAGATGTTATAAAAATTTAACAGAATTTAACAATACAAACATTTCATAACCATTTCTTGATAAAAATCTCATCACAAACATTTATTTTAGTGCAGTACACATTCAGGGCTTTGTTCTAAACAAACATTTGACTTCACACTAGATTTAATCTAATTTCATTAACTGCAAGTATGTTTTTTTCTCATTTATTGGGTGTGTCAGAGGTGTTGCGCAATCAGCAGCCACATTGAAAAGACGGTGAAGTCCAGTGCGCTCGCGTACACTGGAAAAACAAGTCTTCATAGAGTTCATTTTAAATTACAAAAAAAGTGAGTACATATACAGGAGAGAACCCGTGTTTATATGGTATATTTATAAAAATGCTGACAACCTTTTTTGTTTTAATTAAAAAAAGGCAGTCGGACAGAAAATATAGGCATCATGTCACTGACCCAATTATCACGATATTTAGTTTAGTTTTAAGGCTAAGAAACCAGATGGTTAACTGGAGGTTAAACTTTTCTTTATGGTCAGAACAAACACTTGATGCCAAACTTGATGGGATCACTTAACAAATCTAAGTTAGAACGTTCAGAACAATTATTATTAAAATCTATTTAACAAATTAAATATGTTAGTAGAAAAAGTAAGTGGTAATGATTCAAACGAATAAGATAAAACATATATTGAATATTTATTTAACATGTGTTATATTGTTATTAAGGTAAATAATATTGCAATAATTATTGTTGTTGTTTTATTGTTTAAAGTTGTAACAGAAACTGTGACTGATAATCATTCTTGTTTTCTGTTGTTTTTTTTACTGCATTCTCTGGACATTAAAAACTTCACTTGCTGACTTTTTCCCCTCTTAGGTCAGTCTCTCTTCATCCGGTCATGAAGGTTGCAACCCCCGGTGCTCGCCTTGAGATTTTCCTCACATCGTGCAGGCCTGCCTCACGCCCTCGTTAGCTTAACTTCTCAATTGATAATTTGGTTGTTTGATTGGACGGCAGTACGTGCAAAGGCTTGGCAACACGTCACTAAGTGAAATACTATTTATGTTCTAAGTTAATTTATTGGACGTCAAAAGCACCTCAACACTGCGCATACAGTTGAAGGAAAAATGCAGGAATTTCTGACCGTCTTTGAGCCTGAATATCGCCAACTCTGTCTCGTCTTTCCATCAAATAATGGAAAATTAGATAAAGACTCAGATCGTTAAGCAGTCTCAATAATGAACGACCTCCATCGCTAATCAGGACTAAAACGATATTAAATACCATGTTGACCGCTTTTGCTAAAACAAGTCAGTGACCGTTTGTTGTTGTTCAACATCTGCCCTTTTATGCAACATGATTTTAGCAAAGCTCAGGAAATTAAGAGGGTTTTGTTCTTTTCCTTCTTGGATGATAACCAGTCTCACAGCCTTGTGTTCCTCCTGTCTGTCAGCAAGACGCAGGTGCACCACGCTGGAGTAGAGCTGGGCGATATGGCCAAAAACGTTATCACCATTTCAAATATGTCAAATCATTATTTCTTTTAAGTTTAAAGGCAGATTTTTGCTCCAGAGTGAAAACCAGATGGTTAATTATGAGGTTAAACTTTTCTTTATGGTCAGAATGGGACAAACGCTTGATGCCAAACAGTGGATCACTTCACAAGTCTGAGGTAGAACATTAAAAACTATTATTATTACTTTTTCAACAAATGTGATTAGTTGATCTTTAACAAAAAAATATTTTCATAGAAAAATTAAGTGATACTTTGTTTGTGATTCAAATTAATTAAGCAAATATTTATAGACGATATGTTGAACATTATTATATTGTTATTGAGGAAAATTATATTGTGATAATCATCATCATCATTGTTTATTGCCCAGCCCTACGCTGGAGGGTACTTTTAAAAAAGGACATCAGCGTTGTGCTCCCTAAATGGCACCATAATTTACTAAATGAACATCATGCTGTGTTGAAGAAGACTTGAAACTAGCGACTGAGACCAGAAACTCATCAGGAAAGTGTTTACTGAGGGAATAAATCAGCAGAGAAGTTTTCACCATTATATCTAATGGAACGGACTTCTTCCTGCAGCCAGCCGACTCGCTTGAGAGAACGCAGGTTTCATTTTAGTCTGCGTGGTTTCACTTTCAGACCCAGAGGTTGCTGCTTGATTGAGATTAGAGAAATAACATTTGACAACCACTCGTCACGTAACTACAACTCTGGATTGGGCAGCGGTGCGCGCCATGAGCTGCAAAACAACTGCAGGATGTTGAGGTTTTAATTGTTTAAAAATAATGTTTTTCAGCGAGTTGCTAGATCAACATTACTTTTTACTGGCCACCGTTATTGTGGAGCCCTGGAGAGAGACATTTAATTCAATGTACTTGTAAGAACGTGTTCACAGTTCAACTATAATCTAGGATCAAGTCTCTATTATAAACTATAACAAGTTTATAATAATACAAGTTGGGATAGCAGGTTGATTCTAAATCAATTTAATGCATTTAAAAAATATATATTTTTATAAATCAATTTAATGCATCCCCCGACCCTGTACGCAGGATAAGCGGTTGGCGATGGATGCATGAATTTAATGACGCACAGCTGACATGAGACATCAGCAGGAGGCTCAACAGCTCTTGTGAGTTGAAACCAAATATATTTTGTCACATCATAAATAATTTTATTATTGCAGAAATACCCTGAAATATTAAGACACTGTTTTGGGGCCCACCTCTAGTGTAGACGGCAGGGCCCCGCAGCGTTTTGTAACTTCTGGCTGAAACCAGATTTCTGACACAGACACAACACGAGGAAACTAAACTGTAACTTGTGTTCTGCTGCAGCGAAGTTAAACTGCTGCTGTCCCTCAGTGAGACACTAATGTTTGGCAGGACCTGCCGCTGTGGCCGCTGGGTGGCGCTCTGAGGTGGCAGAACAGCTGTTCACCTCTCTCAGCTGCATTAGTTCACAGACGGCCGCCACAAATCTCGCTGAGAGCGTTCATAGACAGAAACAATAAGCCGGTAGTTGAAAGATGATTATAACAGAGAGAAAACATGTGAGCAGAACCACACACTTTATTTATCATGAACCTTTTGTGTGTGACGCGTTTCCTGTTAAAAGGTTGCTGCTAAAGAAGCGAATACCTACATTAAACTTGATGCAGCACCTGAGGGAAGTAAAGGTAACACATATTAATGGAGTGAAATAGTGGCGGGTCGGTCGGGAATTAAATATAAATGCGTCACTTACAATCGATGCCGTAGCGCTGAGCGTCGAGCAAAGCAGGTGGAACCTTTCAGACACACCGCACCAAAAGCACCAAAAGCACCAAAAGCACCAAAAGCACCGCTGCGCTATGAGGCGCGCGGTCAAAGTAGCTGAATTTTTGCGCTGAACCCAGTTTCCACGCACTGCAAATCGCTTCTTTTCTGAAAGGGCTTTTATGGAAGAACATAGTCCTCTGCAGACCTTCAGTCACTGAACGTTACATCCTGTCGCCTCCGCCTGTCTGAGAAAATGTTGTAAAACAGTAACGTACATCAGGAGCTTCTAAACTCCCAGGAGTTAATAACAACACTGCATGAGAGACGTTAACGTACTTTATTATTAAAAATTAACTCAAGTCATTACCAGTGTTGTGAAATTAATTAATGTGTGAAACCGATTATTCCTCTGACTGTAATCGCACCAACGAAATCTGAAATCGTCGCATCCCTCGTCAGGAGGCAGCAACTTCAGCGGTAAACATGTTGAAGAGCAACAGAGACGGAGACGAGCCAGATTTCTGCTCCGCGTCTTGGACAGCGGCCGGCGAGCGTCGACGTTAACCTTCAGATGTGAAGTCAGAGTGAGTGACCGCAGCTTCTCGAGATGGTTGTGCTGCTGGTGAACCCCTGGTTCAAAAACTACAACAGGTCCCACGAAGTGTTTTAAAAAGCTGTTTACAATGTGGATTTCTTCTTAGCTCTTTTCACTTTGTCTGAGTTGACAAAATGTCTGAATCTATATACTTATTCATAATCTAGACTCCATCTGGCTCCACCTGTTCCAGTAGATCCGAACCGGAAGTTAACGTTAGCTTTGTCCCGCTAGCTAGCATGCTAACACCCAGGCAGCAGGCTACCTCCTGCTCCTCTGCTCCTCCTCCTCCTCCTCCTCCTCTTCCTCATCTTCCTCCTCCTCCTGCTCCTCCTCCTCCTCCTCCTCCTCCCTCCTCCTCCCTCCCTCCTCCTGCTCCTCCTCCTCCTCTCCCTCTTCCTCCCTCCTCTTCCTCCTCCCCTCCTCTCTCTCCTCCTCCTCCTCCTCCTCCTCCTCTCCGGTTCCGACCGTCACATTAAGTGTGGGTTCTGTAGAGATACGGGGTTCTGATGGCTCCACTGTTGAATCCTGCTACATTACATCTTGTTTACAGTCAATATGAAGCTACGTGTCGGAACCAGGCCGAGCTAACGCCACGTTAGCTTCTTGTTAGCTGCTAGCTGTGTTCATGAACACTGACCTGAACATCGGTGCTATCAGAGCTCGAGCCTGCTGTTTGTCCTCCGGGGACGTTGTTGCTCCGGGGCTCCGGGTCCTGGTTGTCCTCCTCCATCCCGCTCTTGGTCCTGGTCTCTCAGATCCAGCAGGTCTCCTCTGGGACTGACGGAGCTCTTCGGATCAAACAGACGTTTCTTCTTCTTCTTCTTCTTCTTCTTTTATGGCAGATTGCACCAGGACTTTTAAAGGTGCCCCGGAGGATGTAGCATGAACTGTGTTCACTGGGACTACTTTATATCACCAAAACAAATAAAAGAAAATAAATAAACTAAATAAAAAACACTGAATCTATTTTATATATATATGTTTTTTCTTTTCAGATATTGTTAAGCAGCTTCCTGTTTATCCTTTAATCCATCTCCTGGGATGAGTTTTGCACCAATCTGCAACGTTTTCGGATTGACCGACATGTTACCTTGAAACGTTCCGCAACAGGGGCGAGTTCAGCGCAGACAAAGCCAAATGGAAACGGTGGTCCCCTGAACAGCCTGCTGTGTCCACAAGCGCACTGAATTTTCCTGCCTTTTTAACACCGTTGTGTTCACAAACTTGTCGCCGCTGATTGGTTAACACCTGAGACACGCCCTTCAAACAGAAGAAAACATACATCATTACTTTTTACTCTGTTTAACGTTGAATAATAATACCAGGCTACATGTGGAAAACTGTCATGTGTTGATATTTCCAGTCTTGCATCTATTATTTGAGAGTGGGGCCCTCAAGAGAACAAAGCTTTGGTCAGTTGGCATTATTGTCTTTCAGGAGGAGCTAAATCAACCACTCTTCCCCCCATGGCTACCTCCTCTCTGAACCTGAAGTGTAGCTTCTGCTTTGCTCTTTTCTTTGGACTATTCATGCTGACAACATCTAACACTAATGATTCCAGTTCTCTTTGTTTCTCTAGTTTGTTTTGCTGTGCAGGCTGAGACTCGATAATGTCGCTCTGTAAGAAAATACTGAAACGAGCTGAGCTGCCAAAAAATAAGCGCTACAAATTAAAAAAATTAAACTATACACAGGCCATTCTTAAATCAGTGTGTCTCTACGATCTTTATTCCTTTTTAGGAAAGGGAGACTGCCAATAAATAAATCTCCCGTCGGCTCCGGGTGCGCGATGACAAGCAGAGCGTGCTATAATGAGCCCAATCGTCATCTCCATCCTGACCCTGCTGTGAGCTACGTTATGTTATCTTTGTTGTTTGCGGGTCATCTGGGTGTCCTCCGTCCCCGAGAAGCAGGCCATCAACGCGCCCTTTGAACGAAAGAAAAGGAATGATCACAACACAGCGTGACCAAGAGTGGATTCCTGAACAAACCCAGACCCTCCAGCCTCCAGGCTGCTCACCGTTAAATGATTGTAAAAAAAAACAAACCAACTACCACCTAATGTGTCTTTAATTGTTGTGAACGCGCATTAAGGACAAAACAACCTACATGTCAGATCCAACACCTGAACACCGATCATGTGAAATGATTTTCCAGTCACATAATCCCCCTCGGGTTCTTGAACGGGTGCAGTCAGTCAAGACGCCTTCAGATCATCCATGGTTATCCAGAGCAGGGATTCACAACCAGCGGTCCTTGTAAAGTAACCCAACTGACTTATTTTATTAAATTTATATCTTTACGGAGGCGGCAGCAACACCTGAACACCAGAGTGCATGAAAACTAGTTAGCGAGCACATAAGTCTAAACCTGCTGCCAAAGGTCATGGATAAAAAGCTGAAATAAATTGCTAACAATTAATCGATTAGTTGTCAACTACTACAATAAATTAACCCCCAATTATTTTGAAAATAGTTTTGAGTAATCTTTTTTTATGAATAAACAGTGAAAATTCTCTGATTTCAGCTTCTGAAATGTGGATATTTTGTGTTTTTTGCTGCTCTGTGACCGTAAACTCCCAAATATCGTTGGGCTGTGGACAAAACAAGACATCTGAGGACGTCATCGTGGCCTTTGGAAAACAAGGATTTCAAATTTTATCTCCATTTTCTGACATTTGACAGACCAAACTACTAATCAGTTTATCGACAATGAAAATAATCTTTATGATTTGCCAAGAAATTAATGGTAAACATCAGTTTCTTTTGGTTGTAGTGAGCAATATCCACTTTTATATAATCAGTAGTGTTATATATTTTGTGCATGATATATGATTGATGAAGGGGTACGTGGGCTCACTTGTCAGGGCTGTGGGGGAACCACAAAGTTTGGACCCCGCTGAGTCTGGTTCTGATGGTCTCTAAGCACCTTCGCCCTGTGAGCCTCTCAGGGCTCTAATGTAAACGGGGCTCTACGCTGACCTTTCTCCCAAAGAGCACACAAAGAAATTTAAAAATGTTCAAGTACCACAGAGTTTAACAAACTATGTATAAAACAGATATTTATACTACGTGTGTGCTCCTTCAACTGCGAAACCATTCGAGGACTGTGGAAGTGAAGACGCTCGGCAGCATTGGCCTTAAAAGTTTGTCGGAGCTTTTTAAAATATTGAAACAGATGTTTTGAAAATGTGCTTTAAAAACACTGATCACTCATCACAACTTTACTGTGACTGGTGCTCGTGTAGTTTTTGGACCAGGGACGGATTCACTAGACACCAGCAGCAGCCACACAACCCACGCCCAAAGTAAACAAGACTACTGAACAGTACTACAATAACTGCTCTCAGGAGGAGGCCTGGAGGAGCACACTGCAGAGGCTCTTTCTACAACATGGAGGAGAAACCAGTTTAATGAGTATATTAATGTAATTTAACATCAGATAAAAAGTTCTATTTTAATCTAATATTTTACTGTCGGTATGTTCGTATATAAATTATTTAATCTCGCCGTGCGTACAGCCCACCGCTGGTATAAAATTAACTCCACTTGGGACAAAACAGCAGTTTCATGTTTTCAGTTATTAAATACTTGTGCAAGAAAAATGGTCTAATAATCAGAACCATTCATGCAGGAGGAGTTTAACATTTGAAACTTTACTGTAGCACGTCAAACCGTTTTTATGTGTTTAAAGTTGAACATGTTTTAAACAAAAGGCACCTGATAAAGCTAAATATCCAGCTCGCCAAACCTTATCGTCTCCCCGCTGTCTTCGATTAGCGGTGCGGCGGATGTGGTGGGGGGGGGCGGTTATGGTAGGTTGTAGTTACTGTGCTCCCAAATCATTTTCTCCGTTCGCACGCATCGATTTTTGGGGGCATCTGCAAGCAAAGTGGTCGCACCATAGAGCCCTGATAAAACAGATTGTAGTACGCCTGAGATCTTGCACCGCTAACGAGTCACGTGACACCAGGGAGGGAACATGGCTAATTGGGCCTAATGTGGACGTTTTCCGTCAGGGGTCAGCGGTTTAGCATCAATAGCTGTGTGGTGTTATTTTGAGGGGACAGCAAATTTACACTGTTACATAAGCTGATGTCATTGTTAACCTCGTAAAGTTCCCGTCCTGGTCCCTGCAGTCTGACATCAGGACCAGGTCTCCCAGTCAGACTCCAGCAGGCCTGTGGTTGCTGGAGTCTGACTGGTTCCCCGAGGAGTCCCCCCCCACTGAAGGTTAAATAAAGATGGCGTCTGTCTCTTGTCTCTACAGCAGCTGAACCGGCGCTGCTGTAACCTTTATTGTGCCGGGGTCAGCATGGTGACAGGCCACCGGGGAGGGTCCTGCTTCCTGCTGGGGGGCCGTGTCGCTCCACCGCTGCACATCCTGCACAGATCAGCGACGCATCAGCTCTGGAATCACGGTGCAGTTCCCTCAGTGTCCAGCAGGTGGCGACAGATCCCAAACCACAACACTGACACAGTGCGTGGGCTCGGATTGCTGCCTTTGTGAGGACCAGTTTCAGTCTTAAACCACCATGGTGAGGACGTTTTGTCCCTTCTCACCTCGTTAAAGGACTGTTTGGAGGTTCAGACTTGGTTGTAAGGTTCAGGGTTGATGATGTCAGAAACCTAGATGTGTGCGTGTGCCAGAGATACACGAGTCTTCAGTGACTCACCTCTCTTTCTCTCAGCGTTGCTTTGAAGTTTCTCTCCACATTGTTTCTCCAAATCTGTCCCTGTTGACCAGAGACAGGCGTCTGTCTGTCTGTCTGTGGCTCTCAGCTCCGAGCCCGTTGGTTCCTGCCAAGGGCGGGCGGACTGGCCCTCAGGGGTACCGGGAGATTTGCCCATAAAGCACAGAGTTTTAAAACAGAGACTAAAATGTGCAGCTGAAAATTGATTGGTCCCTGAGCTTTAACTGCCAGACGTTACTGAGCCGGCAGATCCAAATACCTCTTCAGTTTAAGGTCTGGTTGTTGGTTGAAGCAGCCTGTATCACCCTCCCGCAAGCTGCAGAAAAAAAACTTTCACTTTCCCTTAACGACGTGTTAAAACTGTGTGTAGTTTCTGCAGAACAGCTGTAGCCAACACACCGTAACAGTCAGATGATCAGTGGACTGATTCTGATATATGGCTCATTTTGTGAGGTTCTGTTCTTGCGTACAGAATAAAGGTCTCTAAAAACCAGGACCCCCCAACAGTGGCTTTGACCAGAGAGTGAGCTGACCAGGGACAAATTCCAGGGCCATTTTATTGCCTCAGTCCGGCCCTGGTTCCTGCTGAAGACGTAAATCTTTAAAAACACCTCACAGATATTTAGTTTCATGTTTAAAAGGCTCAGTTATTTCTTCAAACAGCTGCTCGCTGTAGTTTCTATCAGACCAGCAGGAGAAAATAGTGCATCTGTTGGGGAGCTGAGTATAGTTGATTATTGTTCTACTAGTTAAACTCATTATTAAGCGACGGGAGACCATGTGGAGCATTTTACTGCACAAGGATTATAAATGAAGGAAAAAAACAATCTGCTGTAACTGGAAATAAATTACATAAAGTCCACTAACATTAGCCCAAATCAAAGCTTAACCACAGGAAACTGTTTTATTTGTTATACAGTTAAATCTCAACTAATAAACTGTAGAAATGTTACAAATATCTGTCCAAATAAAGTGTGACCTGTGACCATTTTAATTTATTATTAGTTTTATAATTGTGTATTTTATTGTTGTTTTTTAATGTGTTGTCAGCTTCTTCTTTATGTGTCTCTGTTTTCTGTACTGGGGCCACACAGATGGTGATTTTACGCTCTAAATAAATTTGACTTGACCTACCTTAAACTTATACTTATAATATAATCATATCATTTTATTTAATGTCATAACATTACGCTAATACACTCCTTTATACCAGTTCCTCACAGCCCCACTTCAAGCGCTGGTTTTGGAAAACAATGCATCTCGGAGGAAGAAGAGACTGAGATTTCTGTTTATTACAAACGCTTTTAAGTATTTTTAGCAGGTATTTGTGTTTGACGGGGATAAATAAAAAAGAAAAATGTAACAATAATGTATTTTCATTATTCATGAAACGTAAAAATCAAAGCCGTGTGGGACACCTGCAGCGTCACCTGCGGATCAAGCTTCCTTCAGGAGGCGGTTAATTAACAACAAAGAATATCTGAGCAGTTATTTTCTCTCACAAGCGGTTTCTGCTATTTTCAGCATCTTTGTTGGTGTTTTTACAGTTACAAACGTTTTATTTTGAAACATTTGTTCTGTCTATTATTGGAAGAGACACTTTGCTGAGAGAGCCACAGGACCCGTGAGGAGACCGGTCCACTGACAGAGGACAGAGGACAGGAAGCAGTTTGCGCTCAGGTGTCGACTGAACAGAGGAAGAGACGTCAAACAGGGACGATCAGCGACACTCAGGTGTTACTGGAGAGCGAGACGCGCCCTTCAGTCCTGGCCAGGCTGGAGGGAAACACCTTTAAAGGCCGGAGTTTAAAAACAGCCTGGAGCTACTGTGTGTTTCCTCCTCTGCTAGAGACAGGGCCGTGGACCGAGGACACAATCCTCTACATGCTAAATATTTCTCCACTAAAAGTAGAAATATTAATAATTAAAATAAAAAAGCAACAAATCTTCATGTTTGTGAGCCATCAAAAGCTTTTACATTAAAATAATAAATGTTTTTAAATTGTAATAATAACCCTCTCAGCTGTACTTTTTTATTTCTTTATAACAAATCATGTTTTATAATTTGCATATTTTGTTAAGTAACTTTATGTGTCGGAAAACTGTAGTGAAGTAAAAGTACAATATGTCCCTCTGAGATGTGGTGGCGTAGAAGTAGAAAGTATGATGAAAGGAAAATACTCAAGTGCAAGTACCTCAAATGAGTACTTGAGTACAGTACTGGAGTAGCTGAACTTGATTACTGTGCAGCACTGAGCGGTGCGTTCAGGAGCCTGCGCTCGTTGGTAAACGCAGCGTTAAAACAGAATCCAGCTGTCGAAGCTGCTGCAGCCGAATGACCTCATAGACTCAGACCGGGGACACGAAAAACCAGATGATCAACGAAACCGAGCTCGAACACTGATCCAGCAGGGACGAGCAGGGACAAGAGGAGCAGAGGACCAGAAACTGAAACAGGAAACAGGCAGACTCAGGGAGAATTTCAAAATAACCAGGACCAGGACGAGAACACTGAAACTTCAGAAACACAGAACATGATAATCACGACGCGGGGAACTTTAATCTGTCTCTTCAGTTGTTAGTTGGTTATATTTTGTATTAATAATCTGACAAAGTAACTAAAGCTGTCAGATACATGTTGTGGTGTACAAGTATACAGTGGCGGAGAATTAAAATACTCCGATAAAGCAAAGTGCCTCAGGATCTAGAGTAAATACTACTTAGTTACATCCGTCACTTTGTCTTCTCTCCTTTCTTTAGACAGTTAAACTAAAAGCAGAATATTCACATGATATCAGTAATAACATATAAAGTGGCAAAAATAACAAAAAAACGAAAAGTACCTGGCAAGATGTTCACATGATATAAATATCATTTACTATAAAAATCAAACAAATAAAGATAAATGTTCCCGCTCTTCTCTGGTTGGGGGCGGAGCTATCACCTGTCTGTCAAACCTTTCTCTTCTTCTCCTCTTCCTGTCGTTCCCTCCGGCTCAGTTTGACAGACAGGTGACAGTTTCCCACAATCCACCTCTCCACTGTTCCCTCTGTTTATTGACCTCCTCCTCCCCCCTCTGTCCTCTCCTCCCCCCTCTGTCCTCTCCTCCCCCCTGCACCTCTTATTCACTCCCTTTCTTTCTGTGCGCTTCATCTTCCACTTGTGTCTTGAAGATTTATTTTCCATCAGCAGAAAACAACAAGTTTAAAACATTTCAAACTCAAAATCCGGCCCAACAGGCCCAAACAGGTTGGCTCTGCCTAAATGTGACCGAATAACGTTGCCAAGCAGAAAGATGCAGGAAACATCCTGCAGGTATTTCAGGGCTGCCGGTCCTCTGGTTGGTCATGTGACCCGTTAGTCTCTGATCAGAATCATACACAACAACACAAAAATAAAACCAGACACAGAGTAGAAATGCTGCGCTGATGTGTGACCTACTTTTAACTAACAGCATTTTAAATGTTAAGATGCTCAAACATCTTGCTTCACGTTCGGTCATTTTTTAAATAAAATAATAATGAATTTATTCCAGAACAAACTAAAATGAACCTCTCTCTCTCTCTCTCTCTTTCTCTCTCTCTCTCTCTCTCTCTTCTCTCTCTCTCTCTCTCTCTCTCTCTCTCTCTTTCTCTCTCTCTCTCTCTCTCTCTCTCTTTCAGTCCAGTTTGCTTTATTCCATGAATATCAATAGAAAACATTCAAGGAAAATACAAAACAACAATTCATAGAGTTCATTAAATCAACCAAATAAACAGTAAACACTCTGCTTTCTCTTTTCATTCAGTCTTTCCTGCTTTCCTCTCCTCCATTTTCTTCTTCTCTCTTTCCTCACTCCTTTTCTTTCTTCTTTCCTCACTCCTTTTCTTTCTTTCTTTCTTTCTTTCTTTCTTTCCTCACTCCTTTTTTCTTTCCTCACTCCTTTTCTTTCTTTCTTTCTTTCTTTCTTTCTTTCCTCACTCCTTTTCTTTCTTCCTCACTCCTTTTCTTTCTTTCTTTCTTTCTTTCTTTCCTCACTCCTTTTCTTTCTTTCTTTCTTTCTTTCTTCACTCCTTTTCTTTCTTTCTTTCTTTCTTCTTTTCTTTCTTTCTTTCTTTCCTCACTTCTTTTCTTTCTTTCCTTCTTTCTTCCTTTCTTCCTTCACTCCTTTTCTTTCTTTCTTTCTTCTTTTCTTTTCTTTCTTTCTGTTGTCACTCCCTTCTTGGCCTCCTCCTTGCCTCCTTGCTTCCCTCCTATCCCGTCTTGCTTCTTCTGGCTTCTTCCCTCTCTGTCCTTCCCTCCTGCTGTGTTCTCTCTCTCGGCTCGTTCACACCTCGGCTGACCAACAACAGAAACACAGAGGAGGAGGAGGAGGAGGAGGAGGAGGAGGAGGAGGAGGTGAAACCCATCCCGGCCTTTTCTCCTCTAACAGAGGGATTAAATATTCCTCCTTTCATGTCGGAGGTGACGTCGCTCTCCTGACAGAGAGTCTCACCTGTCTGAGCTGCAGGTGTGAAACTTAATCTCAGCATGAAGTAAATCTCCTCTCTCCACCTTCATCACCTGTTGACCGTCTTCCTCACTCTGCCTCGTCTTCACCTCTCCTCTAAACTCCTCTCAGGGACGACTCAAACACTTTAACGTCAGTTTAAAAGTTTCAGAACAATAAACTGCTGCTCTGCACAAACGTGGAGTCACTCCTGCTTAATTTGACTTCGTCCTTCTTCAGATGTAAATGCAAACAAATCATGTCCTTTAACCCTTTAACTACAGCGGGCTGATGCTTGGAAAAGATAAAGTACCGTGTCCAGACCACCGCGTGGCAGGTCTATTAATCCATTATTATCTTTACGTATCTGTCATTTTGATTTACTGCAAAAGAAGGGAGGGAAGACGAGAGGCACCTCATGTCCCTCAGCAGTAACTGTTAAATCCTTTTCGTATCAGGAACGAGACACTTTTTCAACCAAATATGAGGTTTGAAATACTTCAGTCCAGATCTTAGTGATATGTTTCTTGTGCATTTTGTTCTGTCATGAAAATAGACCAGTGGACTTTCTGCATCAATGCGTTTATTCTGCCTTATTGTGTATGTTTTATTTAAAATGATGAAATAATTTGCACTGAAATATCTTTTTGTGTATTTATAACACTTGATTTTAGTAAATGTTTTCAAAACATTTTGTTTGTTGGAGCCATAGTGAGGCACTTTTTATAAGCATGATTTTGTTTACTTGTTTAAAAGTAGAAACAAACATAAGAAGACGTTGCTTTGTGAGTAACTCAATGTCATTTTTGAAGACCTAACGAGAGATTTACAGTGAAAAGACAGAAACAGACGTATAAAGACCTTCTCTGTGTGAAACGTTGAAACTCTCTCTCTTCTTATTGTTGTTAACCACAAAGCAGGTTTTCTTACAGACTCCACCCTGCTGCCACTCACAGGTGTGTATTCACAGGTGTGTATTCAGTCTGCTGCTCCACATTCATCAGATCATTAAAATATTACATTAAATATCAAGACAGAAAAGTTACGAGTTAACTGTTACAGATTAGGTGAGACTTTATTGATCTTTATAGAAAATCCCAACCACGTGAATATAACGTGAGTAAACTGAGCTCCAGTTTCAGCAGCTGCATCTTTATGTAGTGGAGAACACATGAATTATAATATTATACTACTCTGCACTCTGAGTACTTTTACTGTCGGTGTACTAGTACTTTTGTAGTTTGACTCTTAGGCAGGATTTTAAATGCAGGTATTGAAGTATTACATCTGAGTACTTCTCCCACTCCTGGTATGAACATATAAGAAGTATCTATGTACTCGAAATGCTCCTTTATTGATCACACACGCAGTCACGTGATCAGCTGGTTAATAAAGAGCGACAGACACATTCCTCCACAGCTGCCTGTCACTCAGAGTCAGGCCCCGCCCCCTCCGAGAACTGACAGATCAGTCGGCCAATCACAGCCTGCGGAGGGGGCGGGCCCCCCTGGTTCTTCCAGAGGTGGAAAGTTGTCTCCGGCCGCTTTGTGTCCCAACTTTTCTGCGCTGCGAGTTTGTGGACGTGAAACTGGGAACCAGGACCCGAGCGGGACCAGCGGGACCGGAGCACGCAGCCTTACTGCTCGGGACTTACCTGCTCACTGTGAGCGAGTTATCTCTCTCTCTAGTGACCCTGAGGGTGAGTGTGTTTTTCGGGGAACCCCCTCCTCCACCCTGCTGCAGCCACACCGACGCCTCCCCGCTCACCAGGCCGCCTCTCAGAGCTCCTTTCCCGGCCTTGGGAGGCAGCCCCGCCCCGCTCTTCTCTCTCTCCCGGAGGACAAAGTCAAAAAGACAGAGGAGACAAAGTGTCGGAATGAAGGGATGAAAGAGGAATAGACCCGCACAGAGGATCCGGGAGAACCCGAGGACAGATCAGAGCAGCTGCAGGACTCCAGTTTTTCATTTTTAATCTCTTTTTCTGCTTTTTGAACCTTTTCAGCTCTCAGGCGTCCATTTTGAAAACTTTCTCCCCCCCGTTTCTTCACCGAAAGGATTAAATCAGCAGTATTCTGGAAAGAAAACTCTGGTTTTTGGATATATAGGCTATATATACTTTTTTAAATTTTTTAAAATCTTCGGGCTCCAATGAGGCGCGCGCGGCCGGCCGAGAGCGAGCCCAGCTGACGGCCAGTGATCAGAGATCGATAGGTGTGATCGACTCTGGAGTGACCCGGAGACGGATCAGGGGGATTCGGGTCTGATCGGATTTGGATTATTTCCAGAGAGGGGATGGAGGGTCTGTGGGGTGTGCGGGCCCCTGGGGCCCCGGGACGGGCTCCCTGCTGCGGGCTGCCGCTGCTCCTCCTCCCGCTGCTCCTGCTGACCTGCTGCGCGGCCGAGGAAGGTACGTTGGTCCCTTAATCTGCTTATCAGTACCGATCAATACGACCCGGGATGCATCAGACACGTGCAGGGCGGAAACACGATTAATCATTAGCTGATGGCAGAAAATGAACAAATTTAAAAAGATAGTTGATAAATCTTAAATAAATCTAAACCAGCAACCACAGAAAATCAATCAGAAATAGGTTTTCTGTTCATCACTTATCAATGTCTCAGCTTGAATGTTCTTTATAGAAACTGAAAGTTTTTGTGACTGTAGTTTGGTTTAAATGCAAAAGACAGTCCAGGAATGTTTCCTGTGTGGTTCTGTGGTAACGATTAATCATTAGATGATGACAGAAAATGAACCACCAACAATATAAACAGCCAACATAAATCCACACTGAACCAGCGAGGTGTTGGTAATAAATATATTCTACATTTCCTGTCAATCACTGGGTGTAAATGAGGCTCTGCATAGAAACTGCAGTGGAACAAAGTTGTTTCAAGGTTTCTTTGTATGGAGTTTGGTGTAAACACAAAAGGAGTGCAGGAATGTTTCTTTAGTGTGGTTCTGTGGTTCTGCGGAGGGTCTTAAACTCTGCAGGTGGAGAACATTTCATGCATTCTTGAAGTTCCACAACAAAAAAACTACTTTAGGGTTTCACAACTTTCACAACAGTGTTTTCACTCCTTTTTTAGTCAGAAGTTCACTGAAGTGTTGAAGCAATGTGTTCATTAACAGGAAATTAACCTCCTGCTGTTCTATTCATCATTGATGGTTCTGGGTTCTCCAGTGAGAGGAGGCTCTAAGTGTTCTGCTTTTTTTAATGTCACTTAAATTATAATAATTCTGACTTCAGTTCTGTTGGTCAAACCGAGAAACACGTCATTGACTTTTTCACTACGTTTAGAAGTTTTACGTCAGAATAAGAAGCATAAAGAAGTTCAGTGAGTTTCTGGAGAACATCACAGAATAAATGTTCCACGCTGAGAACAGATTCTTCTCTGCACGACAGGATAGTTGTGATGTTCTCAAGTGGTTCTGCTCTCACCGTGTTCTGTAATACTCCAGCACCAGTGAAAGGCCTCTCCCACCAGAGTAAAAGTACACAAGTGTTCTCACATACACGTTTCTTATGCAGCAGGATGGGCTGGCGTTGACTTTTATCGAGTTATTATTAACTCCAGCTGTCGGGTACACGCAGTGAAGTAAAAGTACAACATTTACCTCTGAGATGAAGTAAAGTGGCAGCAAATGGAAATACTTTTAAATTGTACTTTAAGGAAGAGCTGAAGGTAAAATCGAATTTTTTTCTGTCTGAGAGGTGTTTAATACCGCTGTACGCTAAATATGAAGCTACAGCAGCTGCTGGTTAGCTTAGCTTACCATAAAGACTGGAAACAGGGGGTAACTGCTAGCTTAGCATAAAGACTTGAAACTGCTGCCTTAGCTTAGAATAAACACTGGAAATGGGGGGCAACTGCTAGCTTAGCTTAAAGACGGGAACAGTGGGAAACTGCTAGCTTAGCATAAAGACAGGAAACGGGAATAGTGCAAGCTGAGCATAAAGACTTGAAATTGCTGCCTTAGCTAAGCATAAACACTGGAAATGGGGGTAACTGCTAGCTTAGCTTAAAGAGGGGAACAGTGGGAAACTGCTAGCTTAACTTAATGACTGGAAACGGGGCAACTGCTAGCTTAGCTTAAAGACTGGGGCAACTGCTAGCTTAGCTTAAAGACTGGGGCAACTGCTAGCTTAGCTTAAAGACTGGGGCAACTGCCAGCTTAGCTTAAAGACTGGGGCAACTGCTAGCTTAGCTTAAAGACTGGGGCAACTGCCAGCTTAGCTTAAAAACTGGGGCAACTGCTAGCTTAGCTTAAAGACTGGGGCAACTGCTAGCTTAGCTTAAAGACTGGGGCAACTGCCATCTTAGCTTAGCATAAAGACTGTAAACAGGCTCCTCTGAGGCTGAAAACATGTTTTATCTGGTTTGTTTGAACAAAGGTATTTATTGTTTATAGATTATATCTTTCTTAACAGTTTAGTCAGATGATCATGGTGTAAAATGTCCCAGACAGACACTCTCAGATGTTCAGTTTAAATGTCTTGAAGCAGTCCGGCCTGAGGCGGACCAGGTCCTGGTGGATCCGTGACTCCAGCCAGCTGACTGACTCATCAGCTAATCATCTCAGCGCGTTTGTCATTGTGAAGTGTTTTTGTCCGTTTGGTTCATCCATTTTAACAGAAAACAAAGAAGGCAAAGAGGCTGAAATATTTCATCTGAACTTTGAGACTCCAATAGAGAGGTGACATCAGCCCGTCCTCACACAGAGCCGGTTACTGTTTCACCAGAGAGCCGGCGTGTCGTTACCGGGCGAGTTAATCAGCAGCTGAGTGAGTGTTAGTGAGAGCTAACGCCTCCATCAGACAGAGACATGATGCACACAGGAGGAATGTAACAAGTACAAACTGGAGTTAGAGTCAGATCCTGCTCACATCTGAATACACCGGCAGCAGTGTTCAGCTGCGGCCTCCTCCTCTTCTTCTGCGGCGGCGGTTTGACGGCAGCTCCTCCAGCAGTGTAAATTTGAGCTGATTTGGCTGAAAGCTGTCCGTGGGTGTGTCTCCATATTGTCCTCCATCTGCTGAGCGTCTCTTGTCTCCTCTGGTCTTTGTTCTGTTGTTCTGTTTCTGACCCTGCAGCCTCTCAAAGCCGCCGGCCTCTTTATTCCTGCTAAACCCTTTAAATCTCACCTCTGACTGAGGCGGAGGATTTACATGTTAAGTGCAGGTTGGTTAATCTGGTGATTGGCCCTTTGGAAGGTTTAACACACTCACTCACATGCGTTTGTCGGCCCAAACTCGCGAGGACCCTCTTTACGGCCCCAAACCTGGACCTTAAAACCAGGTCTGAATTAGGGCTGCGCAGTATATTGTTTCAGCAGCGTCGTCTCGCCGGATGTCAGATTAACTCCGACACCACAACTTTTGAGCTGCTTGATACGAAAGGAAAACTCACACGGTTCTCATTTTCTATGATTCATCTCCAGAGAAGTCAGATGGATCAGTCAAAATACTGATCAACCAACCAGATCAGGCTGTGTCCCCGTTAATAACTGAGGAACCTGGTGTACAGCTGCATTTACTGCATTAAAGAACAAGAAAAGATGGTTTGCACTCAAAAAAGTCTTCAGACTATTATTTTCAAAGCATTTTCCTTCAAAGTCGCCTCAGCAGCCTAATTCAGCTGCTTAAGTCTTTTCAAACAAAAATCAGTGAAGAAAATGCAATGACTTTTTTTCAGCATCGTGCAGCCTGAGTCTGAACCATCAAAGGGCCCCAGGGGCCAACATGTCCTTAATACAATGGTTTAAACCTGGAGTAGGAGACGGACAATTACACACATACACAGTAAAGCTGATCAATTTCAGAATAAGAGAAAACACATGGAGTTTTGGGAGGATTTTCAAGATAAAATACCACCCACACGTGCTGCGTTTAATGTTTCCAGTCAGTCTTTTAGAGCAACGTGTTCTCTCTCCCAACTCGTCACATACGGACACGCGGTGTCGGTTTGTAACGCACTGGGACCAGTAAAGCTAGATGTAAGATATTTAACAGGATAGACTCAGTAAGGAGGTGGCTGTGGTGGACCAGTGGGCCAAATACCAGACCTTCACCCAGGAGACCAGTGCTCATTTCCTACTGTAAACAGAACGTTGTTATTTAACTTACGTAAGTTAGTTAGTTCATCTTCAAACCACACGACTTTTTCCTAAACCTAAACGAACTGTGACGTTTCACAACGTTAACTGGACGCTACATATTCATTGTTGGTAACTGGAAGCCCTAAACGTGCAAAACTGATGCTTAAGGGTTCCAGAGGGTGTTAAAAAACGCCGCCAAGCGTCATGACCAAAGCGTCCACGTGTGACGAGTCCAGAGTGAGAACGAGTTGTTTAGATGTGTTTTGTTGAACCCGTCCTGAAAGATTTCCGCCTGCTGCAACGTGAAAAGGTCGGTAACCTGTTGCTCATGGCGGGACAAAGATGGCGGCTGAGGCACAAATCTTCCTCTCGGTGCAGCAGACGGAGGATTTCTGTCGAGCCGAATCAAACCTGCGCTCTGACCTCTGCACGCCGTCTGCACAGGAACTGCTTTCTCTCTGCGGCTGTTTGTTGCTTCACAAAGAAACGCTGCCAAATAATCAGCTTTATAAGAGGGCAAGTCACAGCACGAGACCACACACACACACACACACACACACACACACACACACACACAGTAAACAGTGGATCTGGTGATAAGAGTGCATGACGAGGACACGGAAATTACCATGACAACGCTGGCGGGATGTTTATACAAGACAGTCGCCCAGTGTGTGCATTCAGACTGCACACACACACACACGCTGGGATGTAATTGGCTCAGGCTGTGATGCTGATCGCTAACGTGTGTAAACACTTAATTTCCCTTCATGTTTGTTGAACCCTCTGTGGTCGAGTCCCGCCTCTCTCGCTCTCGGCCTCGTGTCACCTGCTGACATCATCTCGTTTATTAAGTGGACTCTTCTGCATGAAACCCGTTCACGGACGCTCTCGGGTTCACTGAGCTTCATCCAGTGAGTCTCCTCAGAGCAGCACTGAGCCACAGCAACAAACGTCGATTAATGAACGATTATTTTGTTTGCTTTTTCCAAAAAGCATTGAAGATTTAGATTCACTGATGTCAGAAAGTGATCACCAAATTAATGAGCACTGCTACTAAAATTTCACGGGGCAGCTAATGAGCTGTGCGAGCTCGGTAACACTAGCTGTTCCTTTTGGTGAGGCGTTTAAGGACAGTGCAGTGGATTCCTGTGTGGTTGAGCGAGACGGAAGGAGCGAGTGGCAGAAAATGTGTCAGAGCGGGTCACAGTGCGTCCGTTAGTAAACTGCTGAACGTGACGGCCTTTAGCGCTAGCTAACATCTCCCTTAGCGTCAGACTAAGCCGAGCAGGGCTGGACGGGGCGGAGTCACGTGACCTCACAAGGTCGTATGTTTTTAAGAAAGAACATGAACACACACACGGTGGGGAAAAATTAATTAGGCTTTAATCACATTTCAATGAATCGTCCGGCGCTGCTGAAAGGCTGAACGCCTCTCTTTTCTCTGAAATGTCTTCTCTCTTTACCTCGAGTTGTTTTTCACACGGTGAACGCTCAGGATTCATGTCAGTCACACTTCATCACCTGTTTGGACTGGATTAATAACCTGCAGTGCTGTGAACAACACACACACTGAAAACACACACACACACACACACACACACACACACACACACACACACACACACACACACACATCTCATTTCCTCTTAATTCCTTCAGTCACGTCTCGTTTTAATTAACCGACAAGGAGAATTAACGTCTGCATGACTGTGTGTGTGTGTGTGTGTGTGTGTGTGTGCCTGCAGTGTGTGTGTGTGGTGTGTGTGTGTGTGTGTAATTACAGCGTAGAAAAGGGAAAGCAGCCATTTTCATGGTTCCGCTCGGCAGCAGCTGAGGAATGAGGCTCTCTGTAATTCACTCTGTGGTTCTGTGTAAACTAACCGCTCTCCTTCGTACGTACATTATGTGAGTGTAGAACTCGCCCGAGTTCATCAGAACATCATGAAGTCTGAAGATGATGATGATGAAGAGCAGCTCTGATGCTGCAGCGCCGTGAAGGGAACATTTGAAATATTCCCCAACTGACGAGAACAAACCTGCAGCTGAGTGAACATGAGCTCATCCGACCCTGAGAGGCTTAAAGAGACGAGCCTGCATATTTCTCTGGATCCCCGAGTGTCGGGGTTAATCCTCCTCCTCCTCCTGCGCTGATACAGAACGTTACTCATGCCTGATATTACAGATACGTGTGTCTGGGTTAATCCCGCTCCTCCTCACCTGTCCTCCCCTCTGCACTCTCACTTTCTCTGCTTCACGTGAGAAGAGCAAACGTTTTGCTGCCTGCCAACATTTATATATTAAACATAGTTTTATCTGTGCGTTCAGTACAGGAAGTGCTTTAGGTGGGGAGGACCAGGAGGGTCCCTGAGAGGGTTCAGAGGTTCCTTTTTGTCTGACTCTTCCTGTCTGTCTCTCAGAGGTGCTGATGAACACCAAGTTGGAAACGTCCGACCTTCGATGGACGAACCATCCCGCTGACGACCCGCAGGTCCGCACACACACACTGAAACACGCCTGTTAGCTTCCGGCTAACGTTTACCATTGATCTGAATGCAGAACGCTAATCTGTTCTCTCTCTCTCTGCAGTGGGAGGAGGTGAGCGGACTGGACGACGAGTCCAACAGCGTGCGGATTTACGAGATCTGCACGCCGAACAGCCCGTCCTCCTATTGGCTGAGGACGCGCTGGATCCCCCGGAGGGCGGCGACCACGCTCTACGTCGAGATCCGGTTGGTGATCGAATCATAAATATAAATCAATTCTTGAATCGCGTAGAGAAACGGAAATGAAGTGAGTGATGAACATCTGCTTCCTCAGCTTCACCATGATGGAGTGCGCCGGTCTGAACCAGCGTCCCTGCAAAGAAACCTTCAACCTCTACTACTACCAGTCCGACAGCGACGAGGCCACGCCCACGCACCCGTCCTGGATGGAGAACCCGTACACCAAAGTGTCCACGGTAGCGGCCGACCACCTGCTGCGGGGCGGCGGCGAGAGGCGCTACAACCTGAAGCTGCTGCGCCTGGAGCCGCTGCAGGGGGCGGGGCTCTACCTGGCCTTCCACAGCCAGGGCGCCTGCATGGCGCTGCTCTCCGTGCGCGTCTTCTACAGGAAGTGCCCGCCCCTCCGCCGCGCCTTCGCCTCCTTCCCCGAAACCGTCCCCCACTCGCTGGTGGAGCAGGTAACCACGCCGTAACCATAGTAACAAGCAGGGTTCAGTAGTGTTTTAATTTGAAAAGTGAAGTTAAAACTCATCAGAAAGTGTACCAAGGGGAAGTGATGTCATTTAGTGTACAAAATAAAAGCATTATTATGATTATTAAGTAGATTACAAAATAAAAGCTTCATTTAGTTGAAGTAAAACTACTTTTCTATTGTTGCTTTAATTTTGAAAGTCCTCCATTTGTGTGTGTGCTGCAGGCTCAGGGTGTGTGTGTGGAGAACGCTGTGACTCCGCCCGGCGAGCAGTCGCAACCTCCCAGCATGCTTTGCGGCGAGGACGGCCAGTGGGTGGGGCAGCCAACATCCAGCTGCTCCTGTCGCCCCGGGTACGAGGCGGGCGAGACCGATGTGCACTGTCGAGGTGAGTGCCGAGTACCGCCAGTTAGACTTGACTTGTCCTACAGGACCCGAGACCTGACGTGGACCCGGCAGACCCGCAACCAGGGACCCGTTGAGACGCGAGCGCTCTCCAGACCGTCGTTTATTTTACAAAGTAAAAAATGTGTCACTGAGTTTACAAAGTAAAAGCAGAGGGGTGAAGCGTTTTCTTTCACTATCAGCACTTAAAATTCTTTCTGCTCAGGACACACAAAGACGCACACACACAGAGTAACACACACACACACAGAGTAACACACACACACACAGTAACACACACACAGAGTAACACACACACACAGTAACACACACACACACAGTAACACACACACACAGAGTAACACACACACACACAGTAACACACACACAGTAACACACACACAGTGTAAACAGAGGTTAGTGGTTTACACAGGGAGAAGCTGCAGATGATTACGGAGACAAATGTGTTGACAGTCTGATAAAAGAAAAGACGGAGCAGAAGAGAAAAAAGGTTGGACCTCCTTTCAGACTTGAACCTAAATATTCTGGATTTTAAAAAACAGCGTGATGAAAAGTGAGCAGAGTGAGCGGCCTGTGGAAGTGAATTCCCAGAAGAAGGAATAAGCAGAGAAACCCTTTATGTTCAGATGAAACGATAATATTCCTCAGTAGCAGCATAACTCGTGTCCTGTTCACTCAGGAGCAACAATCAGCCTTTAAACTAGAAAATACTGATTTAACATTTATCCTGATAGCCATCCGAATCGAATGAAATTACATTTTTGGCCTCACCGCTCCTATTCTTGGAGCTGAGGGGTCATCAGCTCGGCATGCTTTCAAGGAACCTGCTTCCTGTAACCGGGGGAGGAGAACCTCTGCTTCTTAGTGGAGAACGCTGATGTGCTGCCTGCTTCTGCACAGACAGATGCAGCTTATAGAGCAACGGTAGAGAAAGAACAACGTGGATTTATATAGATGTAGAAGAAGAACAGCGACATGTTCTCTGGTTAGCTGTGAGTGTCGTTGGCAGCGTGAGGACGACAAAGAGATTTTACCAGCCTGACAGATCAGGAGCAGCTCAAGGTGAACCTGATCCACGTTCTGCTGTTTGGGTTAATAATTAAGTCACAGCTCAATAATTAGCAGAACGGGTTGAGCGTTTCCTCCCGCTGCGGCTCTGCTGTCGCTGCTGGACGGAGGCAGCGTGAGGTCGAAGCTTCCTGTTATTCTTCGTGAGGTCAGAGGTCAGCTGACTGCAACCAGGAAGTGGTGGCAGTGGGCACACCATGAGGGGGGGGGGGGGGGGGGGGGAGTTCAGAGGTCAGCTTCTGCTGTTTGAGCTGCCTGTGTGCGTGTGTGCGTGCGTGCGTGTGTGCATGCGTGTGTGTGTGTGTGCGCGCCGGCCTGGCGGGAGATGTCGGCGATGACATCATGGCAGCACTTTCCACATCCTGTCGGAGCCGAGGTCACTTCCTGTCTCATTGTCTGCGCGGCTGCTGTCCTCCCTCGTCCCTCTCTCTCTTCCTCTCGTTAAACTTGTTCAGCAGCGCAGAGAACAAACGTTCCCACTTTGAAGAACTGGTGACGTTCTACGTTCCTGTCCGCGGCGAGCGGACGTAAATCTTTAAAGACGCCTCACAGACAGATTGATGTTTAAAGAGCTGGCTGTAGTTTCTGTCTAACAAACAGGAGGGAGTAGCGCTTCTGTTGGGGACTACTTTCAGCGGCGGATGAATCTGCGCCAGAAAGAAAACTGCTTTGTATTTGTTTGAGATGCTAATGCTAATGCTAACCCTGTCTTCTCTGCAGCCTGTCCATCGGGTCAGTTCAAGGCGGGGTCAGGACCTGGTGGGTGTGACCCGTGCCCGTCCAACAGCAACACCATGATCCCCGGCTCCGCCTACTGCCTGTGTCGCCCTGGTTACCATCGAGCTGACTCCGACCCGCCGCACACCGCCTGCACCCGTAAGGCTTTCCCCTTTTTTGTTTTTTTTAAATTCTCTGATATATTGTCCTACATTTCCCATAATGCACCCGGACGGTGTCTGTTAGACATCTGTAGTCTGAGGTAACCCGGGATGACATCACTGTGACATCACTGGAGGTCCTGCAAACTGACAGATTTTTAAACGGGTCGAGGTCCCTTTAATAATTCACTTGTCACGCCTTACACTATTGTCAACACACATACTTATGCACACACACACACACACACACACACCAGCCCTATTATGCTCTAACAACTCCACACGCCCCTTTAAATACCATGACCCCTCCCCTTTAACCACATCGCCCCAGGCAACGACAATTAGGCCAAATTAATAGTCTCATTACCTCCGTGTGTGTGTGTGTGTGTGTGTGTGTGTGTGTGTGTGTGTGTGTTAGGATCGCACAGGTAATAAGAGACTGCACACACACATGCAGGTTTTAGGTTTCAGGTTCTGTGTGGAAGCGGAAACTTGTAATCTGTCAGGATCTCAATCAGTCCGTCATCAGCAGACAAAGAAAGGGCAGAAGAAGAAAGAGGCGCTCCTGAGAGCGGCCTCCTCTTTCAGCTGCTTGTTCTCTGGCAGGATGTAGACTTGAATGTTCTTCCCACCTGTGCTGATCTGCCTGTTGGTCTGAACTCAGGGCTCAGTCTTTGACCTCTGTGACCTCTGACCCCCCCTCCTCAGGCCCCCCCTCCGCTCCCCGCTCCATCGTGAGTCAGATCAACGACACCTCGGTGACTCTGGAGTGGAGCGAGCCGCTGGACCGAGGAGGACGGGGAGACCTGACCTACAGAGTCCTGTGTTCCCGCTGCGAGACCACCACAACCACACCTAAGGTACACTGCTGAAACCAGAACCAGTACCAGTTAGACCAGAATCACCAAGACCAGTAGACTAGAAAAACCAAGACCAGAATCACCAAGACCAGTAGACTAGAAAAACCAAGACCAGTAGACTAGAAAAACCAAGACCAGAATCACCAAGACCAGTAGACTAGAAAAACCAAGACCAGAATCACCAAGAGGAGTTAGACCAGAATCACAAAGACCAGTATACTAGAAAAACCAAGACCAGAATCACCAAGACCAGTAGACTAGAAAAACCAAGACCAGAATCACCAAGACCAGAATCACCAAGACCAGTAGACCAGAATCACCAAGACCAGAATCACCAAGACCAGTAGACTAGAAAAACCAAGACCAGAATCACCAAGACCAGAATCACCAAGACCAGTAGACCAGAATCACCAAGACCAGAATCACCAAGAGGAGTTAGACCAGAATCACAAAGACCAGTAGACTAGAAAAACCAAGACCAGTAGACTAGAAAAACCAAGACCAGAATCACCAAGAGGAGTTAGACCAGAATCACCAAGACCAGTAGACTAGAAAAACCAAGACCAGAATCACCAAGACCAGAATCACCAAGACCAGAATCAACAACACCAGTTAAACCAGAATCAACAACACCAGTTAGACCAGTTAGTCAGAACAAGACCAGTTACCCAGTCCAGTCTCCTCCCTCCTGACTCCACCCCCTTCCCGTCTCCTCTTCAGGGATTGGTCGATTCCTGTTCTCCGTGTGACGACAGCGTTCTGTACCGGCCGGCGCAGCAGGACCTCACTCAGCGCCGCGTCGTCGTCTGGGGGCTCCGCCCACACACCAAGTACACCTTCACTATCCAGTCACTGAACGGCGTCTCTGCGCTCAGCCAATCAGAGCCGGCCTCCAACCGAGTCAACGTCACCACCAGCAGAGACGGTACACAACATAAATACTGCACACACTACATTACCCAGAATGCCTTTCACACTGGCAGGTTCGATGCAGAACACATTACTTTCACACTTTATTGTACTTAATCAGTCAAATACAGACGAGCTCTCGGGTTTTTAAGGTTCAGCCGGTATCACAGCAGCTCAGGACCACCGTTGGTACTGACCCGCATCATCAGGACCTGAACAGGTTCTGGTCCCACTGCAATTGTTGTGGTTTTGTTCATACGAATGTATTGATTGATGGACTGGTGTGTGTGTGTGTGTGTGTAGTTCCTCCTCCATTGTCCGGACTCAAGAGGGCGTCGGCCTCGGAGACCACTCTGTCTTTGGAGTGGAACGTTCCAGTTCTGCAGAACCAGAACCAGATCCTGGACTATCAGCTCCGCTACAGCCCTAAGGTACAGACTCACACTCTCACACAGCCTTGTGTTACTGTTTTTGTGGGGACCCATTAATGACAGAATCAGGAATACATGCCGACGCTGAACCTGAACCCTAAAACCAGGTCTTGACCCTCAAACAGCCCTTTAAACCTTTGAGGTCCAGCGTTTTGGTCCCCGCAAAGTATAGTGGAACCCCACGAATATACGTGTTAGAACACACAGGGCTGATCTGATGGACTGTGATGTAACTGCTGATGTCGTCATCATCATCAGGACGGCGAGGAGGCGGGGCAGTGGCAGTACGTGTCCAGCAGGTCTTCTTCGGTGGTGCTGACGGGGCTGCGCAGGGCGACGCAGTACCAGGTGCAGGTTCGCGCTCACTCGCAGGCCGGATACGGGTCGTTCAGCGCCGCGAGCAGCTTCAGCACCCTGCCCGACGGTACGAGTCCGCCTGAAGGAAAAAGTTCCTCAAAAGGTTCCTGTACTGTTTCTAAAACATTTTCTAAAAGTATCTCTGTGCTCTTGGGTTCCTACCAAGTTCCTCAAACGTTCCTTGGGGAACCTAATAGGTTGTTTGTTGCTGAAAGTATTCCTGCCTGTCAGTAGTACCTTTACTCTGTAGGTACTGTACAGAAAAATGTACTGACGGTTAGTTTGTTTGTTCTGGAAGGTGTTGGTCACTCTCAGCTGGTGGTGACGGGAGTTCTCGCCTCCATGGGGATCCTGCTTCTCATCGCCGCGCTGATGGTCGCTGTTTACTGTTACCGGTAAGAGAAGCTGTGTGTGAACCTGAGGTCAACGTTCCATTGTTCTGTCAAGGCAAGCAGGGAGGGAGCATCCTGAACACACACAGCTACACACACAGCTACACACACACAGCTACACACA